AGACAGGTACTTGCTGGATTTTCGAGGAACTGGAGCAATAAGAGTTTTATGTTTATACTATACAAAGCTATTTGATGTAATTCAAACAAAGTTTCAACTGATGTAAACATTTTTATTTAAGTATTCACTGTAATGGTTGTGTTGCTATGATTGCTGTTATTCATTGGTTGTGATGCTACACATGATGTCCTCCGCCCCGGAACGTTTCCGCCATCGGTTTCGGGGTGTGACAGGGTGACTCCCCCACACCTGAGCTGTTCGCTACAGTTAGACTAGGCCAGTCTATGGTGACAACCTTTTCTTTATCAAACCGGTGTTTGGAGAAAATGCCAAGACATGCGAATTAGTCATTATCAAGCATGGTTATAACGACTCACATAGAGATCATTATCATCATAACATTACGGGAATCAGAACATTAATCATGTCAATACAAATCATACATACATCAATACAAGGTCTTAGGGTTTAAGACCACAACACATTTATAATCAGAAAATATCGGATTTTCTGGGGAAATATTATTATTTAATTACCTTCTACTTACAACAGAAAGAATACAAAGAAATTTGGACTGCATACTTATACATGTTTTTACTATGAAATTCACACATGCATCTATACTCGATTTTCACATCATTTTTCAGACTTTTACAGAAAATATCGGATTTTCTGGGTTTTACGAATAATACAAAGACTTTCATTCAAACATGCTTATGAACTCACCAACATTATATATGTTACCGTTTTCAAAATAACTTGTATTCTCAGGTAACCGTTAAGCAGGGGAACTTTCAAGTATAGGAATTTATTTTGTGTAATGTCAATCATTGTACAATTAATATTTTGGGAATATGTAATCTAAGACAATGTACTTGATGTGAACAATACCAGTTGTAATATGTAATGTTTGGTGATGATTGTGTTATGTTTCATGTATATTCATTGTGATGATATTTCAATTGATAGTCACACGAGCCCCCGGACGATTCCGCCGTCTGTTTCGGGGGTGTAACAGATTCAAACCTCAATAATCATTCAACTAACTTAAAATACACTCTATATTCAATTTGTATTAATAATCATCAACATAAACTAATTCTGAAGTACATGATGCAAATGAAGAACATGAGTAAACCCTAGAAATTGGATGGAGCTTTGTTTGATGTTTTTTCCATTAAGACACACACGACAAAATCAAAAGTGGGTCTCGATTTCCTTCAGAATTCTCGAAATTAATTTTAAAGGAGGGAATAGGTTTCATTTTACACACCTATAACAAATTAATTGATAGTGTGTGTTGATATTCTTGAGTTGTTTCTAGTTGTCCATGTTTATCGGAGCCCGTCGTCGTGTGTGTTGGTATAGGCTATGATGGAGGGATAAAGGTGGCGTTGGGTGGTGATGAAGATGATGGGTATATGAGTGGTTGATGGTGTTGGAGAAGGTTCTACAGAGGTTTGAGGGTGGCTCATGGTGGTTGGAGTGGTGATGATGTTTGGTGGTAGTAGGAATGGTGTATATGTGTTCTTGTGTATATGTATGAGCAGGGGCGGAGCTAGAATTCTATATTAAGGGGGGCTTAACGATGAAACTAGAAAATAAATTACGCTATGCAATGTCTATACTAGTTATCGCTACTCACAAACATTGAAATTTATAACTTAATAAAAACATGGAGCTAAAAATAGATTTATCAATATCAAAATGTTAATTTCAAGTACACTCTGAATTACCCACAAATGAAGCAAGTCTCCTATATAAATCAGATCTTAAATTTCTAGTTTAAAATATGAATGTAAAATGAAGCAAAAAAAGTAACTACAATCAATTAATATGATATTAATTTAATAAAAAAACTTATTGGTTACCTAAGTAATGCATTGTGGAGTACTTCAATATGAGATATATCTTTATTACTTCATGCCTTTTTATTTAACTTTAACAAACCAAATATTAACTTGGAGTGAAGCACTCAAAGAACAAGATGCAATAGACTTTCAGAAAGGAGAAGGAAAATCCGATTAGGGCTACTCGCCACGCAAGATAGGCAGGGACGTACGCTGACGAGGAAGAAACTGCATGTGAAAGATATAGAGGGGGAATTGCCTGAGAAGGGGATGCCGGAGAGAAAAGGTTAAACAGTGAGACGATTGGGTATATATTATTTGAGATATGCAAAGCATACATTTGATACATATATTATTTTTTCTTTAGACAATTGGGTGGGTGTGTGGGGGTGGAGAGAGAGAGAGAGAGAGAGAGAGAGAGAGAGAGAGAGAGAGAGAGAGAGAGAGAGAGAGAGAGAGAGAGAGGTGGGTATGTGGGCCCTTATCTTTATTTAATATATATAAATAATTATAGAAAAAATGAAAAAAATAAACATAATAAAGGCAATTTAGTCATTTTATTTTCAGAGGGACCAAAACCACATACAAACATCAATCCAAAACTTTCATGATTGGACCATTTTCCGGAAAAAAATGCATAGTGGGATCATTTTTGTAATTTTGTAAATTATGAATTATTTGCAAAATTGAAGCATTTTTCGCCATGTCATACCATCTCAGGTCATTTAGAACGTTTTCTTACAGTTTTTTTATGTGGTATACAATGTTTGGTAAAAAAAGTATCGGTGAATTCTCAAGTTATTGATATAGGCATATAACCCCCACTCTGGTCACAATTTTCATATTATTGCTCTGAAGTTACCCTCACTCTCTCTCTTTCTCTCTCAATAGTTATTTATTTTCTGCTTTGATCTTGCATGGGTAGTCAGGTACATATCAACGAAATTAGTCCAGAACCAGATGTCAAAACTGTTGAATGTGAGTCGGGTGTTGTGGAGGAAAGGAGGAGTTTAGCGTACTTGACATGGGAAGAGCTTGGAGTAGTTGTTTCAAGCTCAGAGTGGAATGCAGGGAAAGATGGATGTAAATCTATACTTTCTGGTGTCTCTGGTTATGCTAAACCAGGAGAGATTGTTGCGATTATGGGTCCTTCTGGTTGTGGGAAGTCCACTCTCCTTGATTTATTGGCTGGTATATCATTATCCACTTTATCCTTACATTACGTGTTTAATGCATATAATTCTCCATTATATCCACTTTATCCCTACATTACATCTTTTAGATGATTTGAGTGTTTAATATTTAATTAATTGTTAGGGAGGTTGGCTTCCAATACAAGGCACAATGGACGAGTTCTAATTAACGGACATAAACAGAGGCTTACCTATGGCACTTTGGTATGAAAGCAAGCAATCCTACGCTAAATCACTTGTTTTTTTATTTAATTAATGGATGAAAATATACGTTCTCATGATCAAGACAAATAAAGCACAAAAGTTTGCATTTTTTTCTTCCATATTTGAACCCATTTTTTACAAAGTCTAGAAGTTATGTGTTTTCTTGATTATTGTTGAGCTATAGATCTAGTCATTAGTCCTTTTATTTTATTTTTTATTATTATTTTTTTATCATAGCTATTAGCTATACCTTTTTATTTTCCTGTTTCCTCAATGAATTATGAAGTGGGTAGGTATACTTCTTCTTTTTAATTTTCTGACATTAGAAAAAATAAATAAAAAATGAACTAACGCTACATTAATCGGTACGCCTCCCCCTCCGTCCCACTGCCTGTCCCTCCCATTTTCGCCGGGTTTCATGATCACACACAAAGCCATAGTAATGGAGAATGATTAATGCCATTGATGGTCGGAGATGTGATTTAACACATCAATAAACTCAAGCGACGGAGGAACTGAAGATTCTGGTGGAGAGGAAGAGATGCAACAAAGGTAGGATGAAAATCACAAAATAGAAGAAGATTTGACTTTAGATGTAAACAGACCTATAATGGCTATTCAACTAATTATACAACGGGTTCATGGCTTCAGAAAAATTCCAAAAACATAGAGATCGATGTTCAAATCGTTTATGATGAACTATTTGTTACTTGTTTCAACAGTTCTTTATGAACTTCAACTCGATTTTTCAAGGCAGTCATCTTGGTTGTTTACTGCAGCTTCAGAGTAAAGATCTTCCATCGTGTTGATTCCTTAAAAGATTCTCTGAGTTCAATTCCTTTTTATCTTGAAGCTAAAGCTTCTCGTAGATTGTGTTTATGCTTTATAAGCTGTTGTCAGATTGTTTATGCTTTATAAGCTGTTGTCGTAGTTATATTCAATGCTCTTCTTGTTCTTTAATGTTGGAGATGGATGGTGTGGTAGGAGGTGGACCGTGGTAGTGATGGAAGGTGGAGGTGCATTAAATAATAATAATAATAATAATAATAATAACAACAACGAAAATATTATAATAGAAAAGCCACGTGGACGCCACGTCAGTGTCGTTTGGACACATCACCATTGAAACATGTTCACCTCTTGCAGTGGCGGAATCAGGATGAAAGTAAAGGGGTATCCCAATTTTTTTTAGGGTAACCCAATTTTTTTTCCGGGGTATTTGACTTTACCCGGTTTATATAATAGACAAAAATAGCTGAGTTTATATGTGTTTGACGATGTGGATAGAATAGCTGGGAAAATAAAACAAAAGTAAACAAAGAATATATAAAAAGCAAGAATCGATCCTGAGACCTTTGCTTCAATAAGTCAGCCCCTTAACCAGCAGACCAATTGTTTCTTTGTGTTTATAAGTGAAGGGATGCGTATATATACATTATATCGAAAAAAATTGAGGGACACGTAAACGAAAATTACACTACCGAAAAAATTTTGAAAGTTAATACTCTCTCCAGCCTATATGGCTTCAAAAAATCTGATGTGCCATAAAAAAAATCTGATGTGACAACATGCTAAGCATGGTACCACTCCCTTCAACCTTATGGAGCAATGGTCTTATTGACATGGATTTTTAGTGTTTAAAGATCCATATTACAAGAAAATTACTTAAATGACCAAAATATATGTCAAAAGATAGTTTGTTGGGAGACAATGACAATAACTCTATATCTTACGTAGGCATATATGACTCAAGAACAAGTTTTAATGTGGACGCTAACCGTGAAAGAAGCCGTGTACTACTCAGCTGAACTCCAACTGCCCAAGTTGATGCCAAGATCTGAGAAGAGGGAGAGAGCAGATAGAACAATAAGGGAGATGGGGCTCCAAGATTGTGTGAACACCAGAATAGGAGGTTGGGGTTTTAAAGCACTTAGTGGTGGTCAAAAGAGGCGTGTAAGCATTTGTTTAGAACTCTTGACACACCCCAAACTTCTGTTGCTTGATGAGCCTACGAGTGGCCTTGATAGTGCGACTTCATACCATGTCATGAACCAGATTGTCAAGCTCACTCTGCAATACCAGATGACGGTTTTAGCAGCAATCCATCAACCTAGTAGTCAACTTTTTGGACTCTTTAACAATCTTTGTCTTCTCTCTATGGGGAAAACGATATACTTTGGTCCTACTTTGGCTGCAAATCAGGTAATCTATTCATCATGTGTACGAAAAATATTATAATAATGATATTAATATATAATTCAGATGATTGAATTTAATTATAACTCCTATTGTTATTTTCAGTTTTTTGCAGTAAATGGTTTTCCTTGCCCAGATCTCCAGAGTCCTGCAGATCATTACCTTATGACAATCAACATAGATTTTGATGAGGTAGGTTACAATTGTTAAATCTCTGTCATAGAAGATTGATAAAATTAAGAAAAGAGAAAAAATGTTGTCATGTTATCTCACTTTTCGAATAAGAAGTCAAAATTATTGTAAAGGTTGCTATCTATGCATCGTTTAAGTAGTACTTCATATATACTCATAGAATTCAATATGACATCCTTGGTTTTAACTGAAACTTCGTTTTACTGAATCACAAAGTTCTTGTTAGATCAATGTTGATTCAACTGATGGTCTTTTCCCACTATAATCCCTTTCTTGCTGTATAAAAAGGACACTGTTCGTGGAGAGGTTCCTGCTGAGCACGTAATCAGTGCACTTGCTGAATCTTACAAGTCATCCGAGATGTATACGAAAGTGAAAAATGAAATATCCACTATATGTAGAGAGGTACATGATACTTCCTTTTTTCTTTCTGATAACAAAGGTTACATTATAGTAGAATATAATAAAAACAATGTTTTTTTTGTAGAAAGGAGACCTAATTCTGAGAGAACGAAGCCTACAAGCCAAATTCATTACACAGTGCTCGATATTATCGCAAAGATCGTTTATAAACATGTACCGTGATCCAGGATACTACTGGTTGCGCCTTGGCATATATATTGGGTTTGGTTTTTCGCTAGGAACAATCTTTTTCCAAATTGGTTTGGGATTTGGCTCTATTCATGTAAGTTTTTCATCACATAGTTCGAGCTTATTCTTAAAGGCTAAAAGATAAAAGCTCGCAAAAGCTCTCTGCCAAACACACCCAAAATCCCCTATTTTATGTTAAAATTCATGGTAGTAAAGAAGAAACTAGCACAAAATAATAAGCGTCTCATATGCTGATTTCCCGGTGTTTGTTTGAAATTCACTTTGATTTATTGTTTACTATTATTCGTATCATGGATCTTTAAGAAATATAGGAATGCAAGTTTTCTGTGGGAAATCATTTGATTGGAGAACTACAAATTTTCTCAACACTGCAAATATTGAAAACTTTCAGTATTTGCTGAAAAGAAATTGTCACTTATTAAGTATGATGACACAGTAGGGCTTTTGGTTGCAATTTTATGTAGTTTGTCACCAATTTCTACCACCAAGGTCAATTTTGGATAAAATATTGATGAAGAAAAACAAATTGGTGGTGTTTCTAATCATATGTTGACCTACTGAGAATAGTTTGTTTTGTTTCCTAATGGCGCAGGATAGGGTTTCAATGATCATGTTTGTTTCATCATTCTTGACCATTTTAGCCATTGGCGGGTTCCCCTCCTTTGTGGAGGAAGTAAAAGTTAGTTTACATATCTTATATATTCTTGTTCTTGAATAAAATAATGCACTTAAATGATTTTCCTTTTCTAATAACTATATCATACCTACATATAGGTCTTTCAATGGGAAAGGTTAGATGGGCATTACACGGTTGGATCATTCGTTATCAGCAACGCCATCTCTTCAATACCATACCTATTTCTCATCTCCATAATCCCAGGAGCAATAGCTTACTCACTCATGGGACTTCAAAGTGAACCCAACTTATTTATCTATTTTGTGTTAGTAATCTTTGCGTCAATGTTGCTGGCTGAGTGTCTTATGATGATTGTAGCTACCATTGTTCCAAATTTTCTCATGGGGATCATATGTGGTGCTGGAATCCAAGGATTGATGATACTAGCGTCAGGGATCTTTCGATTGCCAAATGATTTACCCCATGTTATATGGAGATACCCTATGTACTATATTTCGTTCCATAGGTACGTATTACAAGGATTGTATAAAAATGAGTTTGAAGGGCTAAAGTTCCCTGAGTACTCAGGAGGTCCTCCTACAATTGATGGTGAGATGATATTGAAGAGTGTATTGCAAATCGAGATGCAATACTCTAAGTGGGTTGACCTGGGAGTCTTGTTTGGTATGCTTGTTGCATACAGGATAATCCTCTTCTGTACTATTAAGATAATAGAGAGAGTGAAACCTATTATTAAAGATTTCATGTCGTGTTATAGTTATAGCAACTAGAAATTCTTCTACCGGACCCCATGTGTTGTTTGTAACACTTCTTTTGTCTACATGAACCACATATTCCATTTAAATGTTCCTAGGAGCTCGAAGAAGTTCCTTTCAATATAATTATTGTATTTTTCTCTGTTCCACTAACGTTGATCATGTACTCTAATAGTATGTATTAAAGTTCATCATGTCACTAGTCCACTAAAGTTGATCATGTACTCTAGTAGTATGTATTAAAGTTCATCATGTCACGTAGTGCACGAGAAAATATGAAAAGTTATTTTTATTTTTATTGTTTATTTCACGTGTTGATTTACTTGGTCTTTTTAGTGAGTAGTGATCTCCTTATTTAGTGGCAATACAGCAGGGTATAATTAGTTAAAGTTTTCGGTGGGCTATTTAGTCGGTAGCAGTCAATTTGTAAGCAATTAACCATCTATTGCTTTTCCCTTTGAATATTAGAAAACAGCACTTGCCATAGTGATGTCTTGTCATGAAATCAAGTATACATTAGTAGCCTTTTTAGGCTTGGTCTCTAGATTTGGAAATGTATTGAGATTGCTTCGTCAAAAAAATTTGGATACTCGTTTCACCATAGATTGGGGTATTCATCGTCAATTGTGGGATTAGTTTATGGGTATATCTAGAGAACCTTTTTTTTTAATCACTAAAAGAGTTTCATACGAGCATTACTCCACAATATATCCAAAGTAGATTTCAAGGACAAAATCTAGTTTAAGTGAGGGAAAATTGTATCACCCGTTTTCGTTTAACGTTTTCGAAATATGGTTGATAAATAATATGGTAAATGTCACTGAACCCAACCAACTTACGTGTTTTGGTTTAAAATGTCCTTTTTGTTATCTTTTGCGTTATAAGGGCATGGATTCATGTTTTTGGGGTTTAAAATGTCCTTTTGAGAAAAATGAAAGGGTCACCCGGTGAACCCCTTCCTAATCAGCAGGTTAATTATGCTAGTCACTACCACATCATCAATTAATCTCTCTCCCCCCCCCCCTCTCTCTCTCTTTCTCGTTCTCTCCTCCTCCTCCTTATTCTTCTTTTTCTTCTTCTTCATCCATCATCTTCGTTCATCACATATTCTCTCTGTAATAGCTGCAACTCAAAAGCATATGTACATCACACACATACTTCTATGATTCCGATTCCAAGACCTAACTAACTCCGTTTATATTTCGCCCAAATCCATATAGACCCATCGATTCCGATAACTGCAGAAACACACAGAAAGCTTCCATTTTTGTGACCCAAAATGTCGACGGAGATGGCGAACACCAATCCAGAAGGAATCGACGATGCTCGTATGGCCACACACAAAAGTCAAATTCTGCAAGTATGTTATCCCTTTCGGAATGGTGACGAGGCCTACCGGGATGAAGATGCAACCAAGAGATCTAATCAATTAGAGAGAATCATAACCCACCACCAAGTTTAAATCTGAGATATGTTTCTGTTTCACCTTATTCATGGATTTTAAGAGTATAATACTCATTAAATGAATTTGGTATATATGTAAATGAAGAAATCTGAGAAAGATCGGCAGGTCCAACGAACTCATGGACTGCTGCAATCAAGCCAAGAAGACGATGGCATCCATCATTAAACAAAATCTCTGTGCCACCACCCAATTCGGTAGCGACCACAAAAGGAAATGATGCTCCTATTACAGACGAAGAAGAGGAGAACGTCTCCTTCCCTGTTTTTCAGATCACAAATTCAATCGTAATATCATAGGTTGAATGATGTCTGACAAGCCGTTCTTTGAAGAGGAGATTCGTGATCCCCTTCGTTTCTTTGTACGGACATACCCCAAAAACTAAGAAAAAAGCCACATGAATTTGTTTTAAATTTTTAACTTTTAAAAAATATACAAAAAAGCCAAATATACTAATTGTAACCGAAAAGCCGAAAACAATTATGGTGGTTCCCTTTTAAAACATGTAAAATGAAAGTTTAAATACTTAAATCACGAAAAATACATGAAGGATCTTTTAAACCAAAACACATAAGTTGGTTGGGCTATAGTGACATTTATCTTAAATAATATCAAGTAATTATATAATTAAATACTAAATTTTGTAAGTTTCGCAAATAAGTTAAATAATAATAATAATAATAATAATAATAAATCATTTATTTGAATTAATTAGGAGATGGTAGTTCAGGGACCAAAAGAGTAATATCCAAAACTTTTTTTGTTAGCTAATTAAGAAATGGGTGTTGTGTCCTCATCCCAACCGTGAGGGGCTGGTTCTGTAAAATCAGGAAACTCGGTTTTCTCTTTCCTGGTTCAACGACGTATCACAATTTCTTCACTTCCTCTTTTTGAACCTACAAATCAACTGAGACAGCAAAAGTTATCAGATTTCTTGCCATATTATCGCACTCTTGACACATTTATATACATACTGTGAGTTCGTTTAGGGTTTCACAGTTGTGCTCCAAAAGATATATATATATATATATATATATATATATATATATATATATATATATATATAAAAAGGTAGGTTCATTGAAATTAAAAATAAAATAAAGATCTTGAGATTCAACCTCAGCCACATATTCAACATCTGTCGCTCTAACCCTCCGGCTTACTGACACGACAGGCATGTTATAATCATAAATGATTATATAGCATCGTCCGTTCCTTTCTTCTCCGTCACCATCCCCACCACCGCAACCGCCACCACCACTACCACCACCTCGACACCAGCCGACCACCACTATCACCTTCGTCATTTATACTACCGCCACCTTTGCCACCACCACCTCTTCTTCCACCAACTGTCATAATCATATATGATTACTCAGTCTATGATGTGACATATATGTATAATCATTTATAATTAGTCTTATACATATAAATATGTATAATCATATAATCATATACCTCTTTCACATATAATCATTTATGATTAGGCATAACTAGATGTTGCCGGTACGCTGAAACGTTAAAGCGGCAAATAAGAAATATACGGCTGGGTTGAATCTCAAGATCACTACTTTTTTTTAATCTCAAGTGAACCACCCCCTATATATATATATATATATATATATATATATATATATATA